ATCATAAAAAAAAATATCGTGGGCCTGTGCGTATCAGTGTTGCAAGGGATGAGGCTGAAATGATATCAGTGTTGCAAGGGATTAGAGTAGCAGATTGGTGATAATTGATCATTGGTGTAAGAAGAAAATGGAGGTTCCTTTGATACGTTGGGAGGAGCTTATGGTTAACGGTTCATATGCATGTATATAGAGAGAAAACTCATTGGTGTACGAAGGAAATGTGACAATTTTATAGAGATATTGTGGTATTGGAGGGCTAGTTAGGGATCATATTGGGACAATTTTAAAAAGATATTAAGGGCCTTTGTGTATTATTATATAGAGCTGAGATAAGATCAGTGCTGCAAGGGATTAATGTGATTCGTTGGAATAAGAAGAAAATGGAGGTTCCTTTGATGCTTTGGGAGGAGGTTATGGTTCATTGTCCTGATATGTTAGGTTCATATGCATGTATATAGAGAGAAAAACTCATTGGTGAACGAAGGAAATGTGACAATTTTATAGAGATATTGTGAGCCTTTGTGTATTTATTTTATAGAAAATGGAGCAAGGGATTAAAGTGGCCGAGCAATTTGGTGGTAAATTGATCATTGGGGGACTCCATGAATGTGATCCGTTGGTGTAAGAAGAAAATGGAGGTTCCTTTGATGCTTTGGTTATGGTTCATTGGCCTGATATGTTAGGTTCATATGGCATGTATATAGAGAGAAAAACTCAGCAGCAGCAGATGCTTTGGCTAAAGATCAGTGCTGCAAGGGATTAATGTGATTCGTTGGAATAAGAAGAAAATGAAGGTTCCTTTGATGCTTTGGGAGGAGGTTATGGTTCATTGTCCTGATATGTTAGGTTCATATGCATGTATATAGAGAGAAAAACTCATTGGTAAACGAAAGAAATGTGACAATTTTATAGAGATATTGTGGTATTGGAGGGCTAGTTAGGGGTCATATTGGGACAATTTTAAAGAGATATTGTGGGCCTTTGTGTATAACTAATGGAGCAAGGGATTAAAGTGATTCGTTGGAATAAGAAGAAAATGAAGGTTCCTTTGATGCTTTGGGAGGAGGTTAAGGTTCATTGGCCTGATATGTTAGGTTCATATGCATGTATATAGAGAGAAAAACTCATTGGTGAATGAAAGAAATGTGACAATTTTATAGAGATATTGTGGTATTGGAGGGCTAGTTAGGAGGTTATGGTTCATTGTCCTCATATTCATATGGCATGTATATAGAGAGAAAAACTCAGCAGCAGCAGATGCTTTGGCTAAAGATGCAGTCTAGATGTGTTAACTGTGATATAAAGATAGGCCCAGAGTTTGGGGGAGAGATTGAATGTAAGTAGTTGGAGTTTTTCAATGTTGTATATTGTGTGATGGCAATTTTTATAAATTGCATTGCTGCCGCATTATGTTTTTTTTTTTTTGGAAAAGTACTTGTGTTATTTTTGTGAATGAATGAAGAAGTAAAATGTTACCATTCTTAAGAAAAAAAATAGGGTTTTTTTTGGGGTAAGTACTTATGTTATTTTGTGAATGAATGATGAAGTAACCTTTGTTAAAAAAAATAAAAAATAAAAAAAATAAAAATAAAAATAAAAAAACCCTGATAATAACCAATTACTACGCATATTTCAAATGGGCTATGTTTCTTTAAATGCAAAAAAAAAAAACCCTGATAATAACCATTAGTACGCATATTTCAAATGGGCATATCTTTGTTAAAAAAAAAAAAAAAACCCTGATAATAATAACCATTATTATTATAGTACGCATATTTCAAATGGGCTATATGTTTCTCTAAATGCAAAAAAAAAAACCCTGATAATAACCATTAGTACGCATATTTCTAAATGCTATATGTTCAATATGCGTATTAATATCTGAATGCATATTGACTCTTCTTTTATTTAAATAACCACTAGTACGCATATTAATCATTACCCCATCCATAGTGCGTTCTATTTCATTTCAGCAAAAATAATAAATAGTTGAATTAAAAAAAAAGAAAAGAAAAAGATTGAATTTGCGTGTGGGCCCCACACGCAAAATATCAAATGGTCAAGAATGCTACTAGTGGAGAATATGCGAATGTGATGCAGAATGCTATATTGATAGTTTAGTGCGGCTAGTTTGTCTGTTGCATCGTGAATTTTCACACTGAAATTGTAGAATACATTTTCGAACGTAATGAAAATTTTATTTCAGAATAATGGTACAGATGAAAGTATATGGCCCTAGAATCAAAACCGTTCTATAAAGCTTCCATGACATATCAGGATTACATAAAATAATGGATGGTATCCCACCCTTAATAGAAACAGGACGTCCATATTTGATATGCGCCTCAAACTTATGTTGTGAGCCAATTAATTCTTTCTTGTTGATAAATGGCGAAATTCGATATTGTCAATGACAGGGTATTGCATCATTCGAATAACCACTGAAGTCCATCCATCCACTAAAATAATTGTGCGGGGCTAAGCTTCTTGCCTGTTGAGTTCCCAGTCCGACTCAGACCTTCTATGACAATGCTTATAGGTCTGTCAGGTATTGCTTGCGCAAGCAACACATTCATCCAATTGAATAATTCATCTGGAAGATTAGGGAATTCTAGTTGTGTTGCAAAAATAATAGGTTGTTGTTCACATCGGGACAAGAAATCCTCCGCGGACATAGATGATGATATATGCCTATATGTCATCCTTTGTTGTGTGTTTGATCTGTGTCGTTCATGGAATTCTCCATAATCAACGAAAGATCCCTCTTTAGAGATGTAAGCACGCACTGCGGCAGGATCCTTTGCTGTTTGGACGTTTGAATGATAGGTGGTGGACTCATGAGTGATCTGCCATCTTTTGGGATCGTATATGTCGATAACTTTGAAAAATTGAAGGAGATGATGGAGATGGGGCGTTCCATCCTGATGATGTTCTCCTGATGATGTAGAATTATTGTGGATGAATTTGAGCCGTTCAAGTACTACTGATGACGGTAGAGAACAACGCGCATAAGTTATGAAAATGGCTTTGGCATTAATGTGAAATCCCGTTGGTGCCCTTGGCATTGTATATGAAGACCTTTAGGTTCCTCCGCGACGATGATAGGAAATGAAAACTTCTCTTAGCATCATTGTCGCAGCGTCTTCTTGCCGTTTATATAGTGTTTCTTGGTGGAATTCCATGTCATCCAATTCAAATTTTTTTGAATTCAAATTACACACCAGGCCGTAAATCTATTTGGTTTTAGGTTGTTAGCTATGTTTCTGCTTCATTTATAGCAACAACCAGCACATAACATTTGTGAAGTATTTTAATGATTTTACATAGTCGTGTTTTTAAGTTTTGAAAAGCACAACCTAGAGTTTTTATAATTCGTGTATTTGACTTCTATTGACTTGGGATGATTTTGTAAACCCCAAAGAGCCTAGTATTGTTTGTCATTCATTCCAAACTCTCTCTCTCGCTCTTTTTTTTTTTTACTTAGGTATCTCTCTCTCTCTCATCGAAGGTGACTTTGCTTTTCTGTCAGTCTCTTCTCCCCCTCTCGCACCTCTGTTTTCTCTCACCTAGTCTCTTGTTAACCAGTTACCACTCTCTCTCTTGACAAACTCTCTCTCTCTCTCTCTAAAAGCTGTACCTTTCATTCTCTCTCTTTCATCCACTCTCTTTGACCTGGTAATTTCTATTCTCTCTCACAATGGGAGAATTTTGCTTGATGACTTAGTAGAAGAAATCCTACTCAAGTGGCTTGTCCCTTGTATGGTCTCAAGATTGTCTCAAGATCTTGGAATGAACTCTTATCCTCCCCTTCCTTATTTGGTACAGGTCCACTCTCTCGCCCCTTATTCTCCCACTCTCTCGGCCCTTATTCTCCCTCTCAATCCTGTGCCTTCTTCCTCCCATTCTCCCACCACGAAAAATCTCCGGCCAATCTGCCTGCCTTCCTGCAGTTCCCTGATCCTCAGCATACTATTTTGGATTCTATTTCGACCCCCAGCATTGGAAATTCAGGGTTTTGACTACAGTATCGAATGTGTTGGCATGGAGGAAGCCCATTCTGGAATACTAGCTGTTTGACTCATTGATGGGACAATGGAGGCTTGCATGCCAAAAAAACCTCTAATCTTTGGCACGAAGAATCTTATATCGATTGGCCATACATGCTATGATGGACTGCAGGTTGATCAGCTTCGACATGGTGAGAGAGGCAGTTGAGATAGTGCACCCTCGGTGTGGGTTGGCCATGTTGCTCTTGGATAGGAATGGCCATGTTTCTCTTGTGGCTGTAGTAGGGCTTGATCTAAAAAGTTAATGGTGTGGTTTTGCAAAACTGAAGACAAAGTGGGAGGAGATAATCAACGTACATCTTGCCCGAGTTGGGGATCGAATATGATAGTGAAAATGTGCTGAAGGAAGGTGATAGGCATCCCTCTCCAGTGCTTGTATGTGGAGGCCAAATTTTTATGATTTACGGTAAAAAGATTATGAGTTATGGCAGTAGTGGGAGGCTGCATGCCTTTTTTCCAAGTGATAGAGATTGTTTGATGGTGAGTATATATGCTACAAACCCACCCTGTTTCTTTGGATTTTTATGGTGGTGAGAGAGGAATGGGGAGATGTGTGGTAAGAAGCGGGGTCTCTCTCAGCCAAGCTTACCGGCAAGAAAAAGAGGAACCTTAAAACTCCGTGCAACTCTCTCCCATGACAACAGTTTGGTGGTCCCCAAGACATCTTGAATGGGGTTGTTTCTCTCCCATGACAATAGTTTGGTGGTCCCCAAGACATCTTGAATGGGGTTGTTCAGTTTGTTGAGGGACTACATTGTCTTGTCGATTGTTTTTTATTATGTTCCATTAATCTTTGTCGATTATTACACTTGTAATATTTTATGCTCCATTATATTTACCTAAATGCATGTCTGTAATTGATCTTTTTTCTCTCTCTCCCCCATGCCAATGCCCATGCCGCGCTGAACTTCAACAATTAAAATGTGGATAAAGCTTGCTGGCATACGAGCAAAAAGGGGTGTTACTCTTGAAGCCATAGCCATCTGCTCTCCCTCCCTCTCTAGAACTTGTCCATTGCTGTTTGCAGGAACTCGTCAAGGAATCTGTCCTCTAAAGCTGCCAAAAAACGCTCATATCGAGCTGATAATTGCCAGAAATCTCAGGTGTTCGGCATTCCGGATTTTGCGGGCATTGTTGTTTGGCTTCTGCATCATTTTCTTGACATTTTTTCCTTTTTGAGGACAATTTGGAGCTGTGTCCTTTGTTACATATGTAGCAGCGGCATTTTCTTAATAAAAAGTTTGTTCTCTGATGCAGATTATACGAATTTTGAAGTATTTGCTCAAAATCCCCAAGTAATTGAATTGTTTTATATCCTAATAATGGTTTGGGTGTTATAATAGATTTTTGTTTTGGATCTAGTTGATCAAAACTTAACTCTTATCTTCAAAAAGATTTACCGGTTTGTCAAGACTTAACCTTCTGTTAAAGAATCTTTGATCGAAAAATATATATTATTTCCTGATGCTTAGAAAGTTACAGGATGTACTTCTTTTTTAGAAAGTTTTATCTGTAGAATTTTCTGTGAACCTGTTTGCAGGTATTTCCAAATCTCGCCAATTTAGTTTTGGTTGTATCTCTGTATCAAAATTGCGAGGTTCAAAAACTTCTACAATTTGATTATTTAAATCTTTTAGTTATACTAGTTAATTCATGGATGACTTTCCATTCGATAGCTAAATCGACACTATCTTCTTTCATACGGACATTTTTGTCTAGATAATTATTTTAACTGTATCTCATGCGCAACTTCGGTTTAGAGTTCATATTTTGTTTCTGGTACTGGGTTTGAAAATGACGGTGAAGGTTTTTCTTCTTCATTTGGAAAAAATCTTCTTGTTTTTTTAAATAATTTTCGAAACTATCAGGGGTCTAGAGTCTGGTTTTTGGATTAGAATCCAAATGATCCGGTTTTTCAATTTATCTTTTTCCCTTAATTTCAGACGACTTTTCGAAGTGTCATTTACTTCATTTGCAGTATATTTTCTGATTCTACGTCCACTATCGTCTAAATTGACTGTTCGATGATAATTATTTCTTAACATGGATTCTTCATGTTATGCTAACAACCTTTGTATGTTGTAAATACGATGGTTTTTCTTGTTTCAAAGTCTATTTCCTTTATGTATCTTGATTTCTAATAATCTATAATTTCTTTGATGACTTCAAAATTTTGAGATTCATTTTCTTCTAAAACGCATTTCAGCTCCATAAAATAACATTTTTTTAGGTTTATATGGATTTTTCGAGTCTGTGATTAGGGAAAAGCCCATTTTTTGAAAACTCTAGACTTTGAAGGCTCACTTTCAGGGCTGCAGGACCCAGACCCACTTTCAGCTGGATGTCGGGCGTCATCTTTGAGATGCTTCGAACGGGCCTCCGGAAGCTGAAGGAGGTGCCCCTCGAAGAGCTTGGAACAACAATCCAACAGTTGAGGGGGATCACCTTAGGGAGTGAGCCCGAAGTCCTCCCTTACTTTGATAGCATCGCCAACGAGTTGGAGGGATGGAGGGTGAAAGCTCTGCAGGCGGAAGAAACGATGATAGCCCCTTTTGGTCGGGAAACAACGATAGCCTGCTAGTGGTGAGGCGGTGATAACCCCATAGTGGTGAACCCATGTGGCCTTTGAGAGTCGCTTTTGTGAGCGACCCCATCTAGTTTGGGGTGAGAGAAGACAACGACAACAATGTGAGGGTAGAGAAAGGGGTAGGCCTCCTACATTGCCTGCACCGAAAAGGGGTAGGCCTCCTACATTGCCTGCACCGGAATATAGCCTTGAGCCGGGACTTGCCGACTCTAAGCAAGAGGATGGTAAAAACCCCAGGCATGAAATGGTCCTCTGCTGGCCTGCGAGTGCAAGGGGAGCAGCACCAGTATTTGAAGGGTTACTTATCATGGACCATGAGAGTATTGAGTCGTTTCAGAGCTATTTTGAGATGGGCTTCCCTATTGGCCGTCATTCAGTGCTCGGCGGGCTATTATGATCATTGCTCAAACACGGTCAAAGTATTACTGAAAACTTGGGTCCATGTCAGCAATACATGGCTACTTGGTCATGGGGATGCAGGGATATTACTGATGGACCTGCACTTCATTGGTGGGCTTTCGCTCCTCGGCGCTATGTATGACGAGTTTGTACCCTCGAACTCTAGCATCTTTGGAGGGGAAAGAGTAGGGAAAAAAGCCCCACCGATTGGGCTTCAGAAACTGTTTGGGATCTACTAACTACTATGCGGTGAGTCCAAAAGTGGACGGGTCTCCTTCGTCGAATGGATAGCATTTTTCTACAACCAGCACCGAGGAAAAGGAAGAAGGGGAAGGCACCCCTCAAGGAGGCCCCGTCAATTTTTGAGCTGCGGAAGGAGAATGGGTATATATTCCTATCAGCTTATCTGGTACTTTTCTTATGCAAGTTTGCTCTGCCAGGTGAGGCATACACCATTCGTCCAAGCACGTTGTATGTTGTATGTGACATGGCACGGGGGAAAGAGTATGCACTTGTACAGCCAGCCCTGTGCAACATCTATTATGGCCTGGGAGCCATTTCTTGAGGGAGACTACATCAAGGAGAGGAAGGAGGGAACGACATAGTAGATGATGAGGCCTTCCCAAGGGATTTCAAGACTCCTTTCCCAATCCATTATGTTTATGGCTGCAGTGGGGCTTACTCCCCCAACACGTATATCAAAAATAGGGTGTTGGAAGATACCATGTGCCCATTCTTTTTGAAGATTACCGGGCATAAAGCAATTTTCTACACACCTGGTCATGCGAACAACTTGTTCTATAATGACCATCTTCACATGACCCGGGTTGCATTCCCAATTGGGGGCCTTACAGAGCATGCATTCGTTGACGAGCTTGGCCACCACCTAGACGGTGATTTCACAGCCATAATCCATAACGTAAAAAGCTTGACGGATACTTCCCTCATCGATTCGCCCGGCAGCATGGGCTAGATCAAGGATGCCCATCATCAGAAGCCCTATACTCCTCCCTGCTCTGATTCTCCAGAGGAAACGGTCAGCGTCATGGTCATTAACGATCCTAGTGACGCTCAAGAGGAGCGCATGAACAGGTTTGAAGCCATAATACAGTCTATCATCGAAAAGATGGAGCGCCTAGAAGTCGCCTGGTCACCTCCCTCTTCTTCCCACCTTGAGGCCAACTCCCCTCCTGTTGAGGACACAACTCCCAAGCAGCCTCCTCTAATAGCCTCTCAAGATGGTTCTGCTCCCCGGGTATACTCCCAAGCCGACATAGATGCCATGGTGACCCATAGCCTCAAGAACAAGATCCCGGGTATGCAAGGGGCACTGCTTTACCAAAAGCCATATCCCTCTCATATTGATCGGGTATCGTTCCCCCCAAACTACCAAAAGGGGAAGCTGCTCTTGTTCAACGGTACGACATCACTGCACCAGCACATCGCCCATTTCAAAGTAGCCTATCGAGAGTTGGCAACTGACAAATAGCTCCTCCTTTAGTTTGTCGAGACCCTTGAAGAACTAGCTTTCCAGTGGTATGCTCGGATACCTCCAAGCTCGGTACACACCTGACAGGAAATGAAGCAGCTCTTCTATCAGCATTTCTCTGAAGTGCAAAAAAACGTTTAAACCACCGAGCTCCTCACCTTGATGCAAGAACCTGGCGAGTCGATCGACAAGTTTGTAGCCCAGTTGATAGAGTTGGCAACCTACCACTCTACTCCCATGATAGAATGAGAAGTAGTCCAAACCTGCATTCGGAACATGCTGCCGGAGATAGCCCTGCATGTTGAGGCTTCCAACCCTTCCTCCATGTAGGAGCTCATCTCTAAAGAAGTGCATATTGAGGGTCTATCCAAGCACCACGGTAATTTCCGTCAACAATCCTTTAGCTCGAGAAACGGCAGGGGCAATGGCAATTCTCGCTCCAGTAATCGGGGTAACTAGCAAAAAGGGGTGATTAGTGCAACCGTCACTGTGACGGACACTAAGAAAGCACCCTTCAGACCTTGGACCTCAGACCTCTCTATAGGGGTAGTCACTACTAAGGCACAAACAGCACCTCAGACCGAAGATAAGCAGAAGCAGACCTACAACCAGATCCACCTCCCAAGAACTCCAATCAAAATGACTACTGGGCTCGGCATCGAAACAAGGTGTACCCCCTTGAGAAAGAGTGGGTTCCTGCGCTGCTCTGATTACTCCTAGAGCAGGGTATGATTCAGCTGCCTGAGGTTAAGTCTCTTGAGCAGCACACTCAAGAGACCCATAAGAAGTATTGTTCCTATCACATAAGGGTAAACCATCCCACCGAAGACTGCTTTGTGCTCAAAGAAATTATCGAGGCGCTCATTAATAAGGGTCAGATAATGCTCGAAGAGCTAAAGAAAGCATTCGGGGCAACTGAGGCTTCCCATGTGGTGACAATCCAAGCAGATGATGAGGCACCCTCTGTCCTTTACACAGTGTTCGCTGTGATGCTCGAAGAGGGTCTCATCACGCCCAAGCCGTCAAGGCAGCCCAAGCTCTTGGCTCCCTGGACTGAAAAACCTTTGGTGTCCGTACTACGGGATACGAGGCTATGACCTGAGTGAGTGCATTGGGTTCCTTACACTCCTTGCAAAGAAGATGCAATAATGCCAGGAAGTTCATGAAAACACAGGGGGAACCCCCAAGTCCTCGCGCAACCGGGACAAGGAGACCGCTCACCGCAAGAGCCGAGTCATAATGATTCAGACCAATTCTAGGTCTTGTTCGAAGCTATGCTCCAGCAAGGACTTATCACTCCCAAGCCCGCCAGGAAACCCAGGCGCCTTGCCCAGGGAACAGAAAATCTCTAGTGCCCATACCACCAGGAATGAGGCCATGAGTTGAGCGAGTGCTTTGGCTTCGAAGCAGTACTCGCAGAAAAGGTACAGAAGGGCCAGATCGTTTGTGTTGTCCTCCCGAAATGCTTCCAAACCAGCACCCCCATCCAGGAAGAAGATCCAGCACAGGTCCCCTATGAGTACACCTTAGGCCCGTCTGAGCCGTTGACTTCTCAGCCCTAGGAAGTCTACCATGGGCAAAGCAGGCTCAAGTCCTTGAAGCGTGAGGCAGTCCGCCAGGCTAGGGCTACTCATTGGCCTGATAGGACGGACCAAATCCCGCCCGCTAAAAGGAGACGAGCTCCTAGGTCAGCTCGTCGAGGGAATCATATTCCTCAGCCCCCACTAGAGGAAGAATTCCTAAGGCCTCTCCCTCCATTTCCAACCCTATAGGACTTCATCCCAGG